CATTATTCTTCAATACTCTTTTTTTCTTCCAAAATCTCCAAATAATTTTTTAAAATGTACAATTATATTTCAATAATCAACCACTCTAAATTTTGGAATTATCAAGTATTGCTATTTAGGCAAACCTGAGGAGACAGCTGTCTCAGTCTTAATGTACTTCACAGAGATACCCATTTCACATTTCTTATTAGTTCCTGCACTTAAAATAAAGAATGCTGTTGAAAGGTCATGGGGTTATGGATTTATTCATGAGATCTAGACAGAAGATATGACCTTTCATATTTAGATTTGATCCAATGAACTACATCTCTTCCATTATTTTAAATGACTATTGTCAGAGCCCTGAGTCATCAATAAAAATGCAAATTGTTATTAGTATATCACTTACAAATGCAAACAAAGATATATTTTGTAAATACAACTCTTATATCCATGGATAAAAGATTAAGTTTGTAAAGCTGAAGTGATCACATGTACAAATATTCTTAACATATTAGTAATTTTATATTACTAATATTGGAAATTGGATTTTGTATGACTTAATATTAGTTAGGGTTTTATTCTATAGTAGCTCTATGATTAGATTCCTAGGTTCAGTTCCCAGCTCTGCAACTTACATTTGTATGACCCTCACCAGTTAAGCCTCGGTGTCCTAATCTGTAAAATGTGTATTACACTTGTATTATCTCATAGGGTTTCTGTGAAAATAAAATGAAACATGATTTAGGAACTTAGCATAGTGTCTGATTTATCGTGAGTGCTCAATATGTGTTGGCTGCTATTATTTTTAATGAACAAAAGAGACATTGTAAATCTGTAATTTTTCTTATTGAACATAAAAAATATGTTATATTTCCTAAAAATTATGATATCGCTCCTACAAAAATGTGCAAATATGGAGTTATAAAAGACAGGAAATATTTCTACATTACTCTTATTTGCCTGGTGCATGAATGAAAATGAATAGAGGTTGGCCTTAAGCAAAACTGTGAGGTCTCATACTTCTAATTCTTTCTACAAATCTTGCTTTACGGCTTACCTATACGGTTTTAGTCTCTGACTTACTATTTTTCTTCTCACTAGTCTTAAAACAACATCTATACCTGTTTTTCCTTCTTCAAGTCTATTTCCTAAATATATATATATAGAAGGCAATACTAAGTACTTAATTTTATTCTATCAAGATCTTCACACTATCTTCTTATTTAGTTCCCTCTGTCTGTCCCTCCTCTCCATTCTCTAAACTGCCTCAAGAAGTTTTACTTTTTTATTTTATTTTTTTAAAGATTTCATTTATTTATTTGACAGAGAGAGAGAGAGCGCATAACCAGGCAGAGGGACAGGGAGAAGCAGGCTTCTAGCTGAGCAGAGAGCCTGGTGCGGGGCTCAATCACAGGACCCTGGGATCATGACCTGAGCCAAAGGCAGACAGTCAACCAACTGAGTCACCCAGGCACACTGTGCCTCAGGAAGTTTTAAACTGTGAATTCAGTCTACTTCCTCACAGAAGTTCAATGATCTGACTGCATAGGAAGCTGTTTTCCAACATTAAGGACTTGTGTCTGCTTTTCTTTTATTGCTACTCTTTTCTTTTTTCTTTTTCTTTCTTTCTTTGTTTTTTTTCTTTTACTTTTTCTCCATACAGTCTATGTATCAAGCAATCTGCTTAATAATTTCCTATTAGAAATCTCTGAACCCTTCTAGTCTTTGCTAGAGCTGTCAGCTGTCAGTATTAAAATATTCTCGTAAGATATATGGTCAATAAGCAATTATGTCATTGTGTTCTTCTTACTGCAGGTGATATTAGAAAGTCCAAAGTGTAGAGCCTTTTTGGGGAGTGAAGACTGCCACATTTGTGAATGGATAAGGCCAGTCCCATTGAAAAGTTCATGAATACAGGGAGTCCTAAGGACTGAAAATGGGTGGTCATCTAAAGTGGTCAGAAAGAAGAACAGACACTTGGTTAGTATATACTATTTGAAATCAAGCAGTTGAATTCTAGAATGAGAAACAGGGAAGAGACTATGCCAACATCATCTAAAGCCACAATGAAAGAAGAAAGAATATAGAAGTAAGGAATGAGGACAACTGAATAATATATAAGTTGGCTTGGTTAAAAGCATAAATTTAAGAAGACCCTGCAAAGCATTGTATTAGTAAAATAATTATCATGACATTGACATAGTGTGATAACCCAATTTTGTAAAGCAAATTATTATATTATATGCTAAGGTTACAAATATGACAGGATTCTTATCCTTAGTATGCTTATTGTCTAATAGAATGAATCAGCAAGTCTGTAAGCTTTATTTAATTTTGGAAAATTGTACCTTCTAAGTTAATGACACTAAATAGGAATTAAGCTGGATAAGTCAAAGATGATTTGCTATTTTGATGACCTGCAATACATTGGTGATATTATGAGAAAGAGTAAAATAATTCCACATGAATTCAAACCTTTAAAGTAATAAAATAAAAACAGAGGGACACCTGGGTGGCTCAGTCAGTTGAGTGGCTGCCTTCGGCTCAGGTCATGATCCCAGGATCCTGGGATCGAGTCCTGCATCAGGCTCCTTGCTCAGGAAGCCTTCTTCTCCCTCTGCCTGCTGCTCCTCCTGCTTGGGCTCTCTCTCCGTGTCTCTCTCTCTAATAAGTAAATAAAATCTTTAAAAAACAAAAAAGAACCAGATATATTACACAAATATATAAGTATGTATTAATGTGAAATATATAATGCAAAAGATATTCTAAGTATAGAAGCATTTGAAGATATCAGAAAGAGCATGACCACTGTGATAGATTAAATTTTTGATTTCTACCATTTCTTACACATTAGTCAGATGCAACAAGCTGAAAAAAAATTTCTCATGAATATGACAAATGCTTAATATTAACTCGTTAAAAAGCTTAAAAAACACTGCAAAGTTTATACTAATTTATCAGTAGAAAAAGTTGCATGGATATTCAAAAAACAATTCACTGGGTAGGGAATGGAATGGCTGCTAAACATTTAAAATTTTAATCACATAATTCAAGAAAAGTTAATTTAAAGAACAATGATATGTTATTTCTCTTATTGATTTGCCAAAACTTAAAAAGAAGGTGTTAGTCATTGATTAGGACATAAAAAAGAATCAATAGAAAAGGAAAAATTAAAGATAATAGGAGAAAAGTAAATGATGACAAATACCTTTTTAAGAAAATAAAAAAGGATTTGAAATAGAGCTTAGTTAAAGATATTTTCTTAAAGTGCTTTCTTTTCCTCAGATCTCATGGAAGGGTGAAAAGCTCTATACGTCAAGGCAGTGATCCATTGAAATGAGGTAAAATGAGGGAGCCTAAGACAAGTGCTGCAATTAATAAAAGGAGGCTGCCAAAGAGGAGCAAGAAGGAAAGTTCTTTTTGGTTTTTGTTTGTAAATTTATGGTGAGCCAAGTTCGTTAGTGTGTAGGATCTTCTTCCACTCATCTGCAGCAGCTGCTCTGTCATATCTACTTATAGACTGGATGCTTAGGTGATTAGAGCTTAGTAGTATGTCAGGGAAGGTCATCAATAAAATAACGTATCTTAGAGGCCCTGGATGGAAGAATCCACTGAAATGAGGGGAATGCTAATATTTGAAGAAAAGGTGTTGAGCCCATAATAGTTCTGGGTGAAATGAAAATGCAATGATTTCTAAGGAGACTAGTATAAGTTGGGAAATACACAATTGGGAATTCTGCGGGCTGAGGTGATATCATGGTACCTTTAAATCACATCATTATGAGCTGGAGTAGTTCTTTTTTTTTTTTTTTTAAGATTTTATTTATTTGTGAGAGAGAGAGAACAAGCAGGGGCAGGGGCAGAGGCAGAGGGAGAAGCAGGCTCCCCGCTGAGCAGAGAGTCCGATGCGGGGCTCGATCCCAGGACCCCGGGATCATGACCTGAGCCGAAGGCAGACGCTTAACGACTGAGCCACCCAGGCGCCCCTGGAGTAGTTCTTTTAATGCCTTCATTTTTACAGATGAACTAACTAAAACTTGAACTGTTTTTTTGACTATGTTTCTTTTAGGTCTGTGGGAGGCTAAAGTTTAAATATGCTTATATTTCTTATAGGTACTTATATAAATCCAAAGGTCTATGCTTATTACAAATATAGCGCAAGGCTGGGGAGGTGCTCAAGTTCAAAAACTTAACTAGTTAAAAGGCCTTTTCTCAAGTCACTGCCATGTTTTCCACCCTCACAGATTCACCTTTTAGTCTAGCTTTAACACTCTAAAGAGTATCAACCCACTAATTAATGGATCCTAAATTTGCCCTTGATACTTATTAGTTATGTGACCTTAGGAAAATCATTTCATGCCTCTACACCTCAAATTTTTGGCCTGCAAAAATGAATATTATAAGTGTAATTTTGATAACATATATGAAAATACCTGATAAAGAGTAGAAGCTTGGTAAATAGTAGTGTCCTTTCTTCTCCCTCTCACCAGACCTTCACTGCTTAGAATCTCCTAGATTTTTCCTCCGATCACTCTTTTTTTTTTTTAAGAATTTTAAGATTTTTTTTTTTAATTTTATTTATTTATTTGAGAGAGAGAGAGCACAAATAGGCAGAGAGGCAGGCAGAGGGAGAAGGAGAAGCAGGCTCCCCAATGAACAGAGAGCCCGAGGTGGGGCTCGATCCCAGGATCCCCAGGACCACAACCCGAGCCACTGAAGGCAAACACTTAACTGACTGAGCCACCCAGGTGCCCCCCCCATCACTCTTTTTCACCTCTTCCCCCAGGCCCACATATAGTGTCCTCTCAAATCACAAACCTCCTTTCCTGGAAGGACTCTTCTTTTCCTACAAGTTCTCCTTGGATCCCTCCCCAACAAAAACATTTTCCCCTTACCCTTATTTCCTCACCACCCTTCACCCTTTAAATACAATCTCTTTTGAAAGAAAATGTCAAACTCCTAAAAATTACCTTATTTCCTCTCAGTTCTAAGAGACTGCCAGTCAGTCTAGCACTCACCATGTGAGACCTCCTTCCAGAGATGCTTCATCAGGGTAGTGCTTGTGGCTCCTTATGGTTTGCTTTGGCTCCCAGGTGCATAGAATTAGGGGTTAATTGAGGCTGAGAGGCACAGAGTAGTCAATAATTTCACATGAAGTCCTTTTGGTTTGTTGCTGTGAAATGTAGAAAAGCAGCAATAAATAGTTTGAATGAATATGGATTACAATAGAGCAAGGTACATCCATAGAGTAAAATTGAACATTTAATTAACTTAGTGTGCTTTCAAGAATTTTAACTATTTGTAAGGAAATAGCAATTTCTCTGTAAGATGAAGAGATTGAAACTCATACACATTCTATACCAGTGCTAATAGAAATGCAATGTTAACTTATATGCAATTTTAAATTTTCTAGTAGCTATATTGAAAAAATGTTTTAAATAAAATTCTTTTAATAACGTATTTTATTTAATACACTATATCCAAAATATCATCTCAATCAATAAAAAATTATGAGACGTTACACTACTTTTTTTGTACCAAGTCTTCCAAAGTCAGGAGTGATGATAGAGGATGAAAGATTAGCCTCCTACTTATATTAGCCTCCTACTCCCAAAGATATCCACATCCTAATCCCCGGAACCTATGAACAGTGGTTACCTCACTTGACAAAAAGGACTTCATAGATGTGATTAAATTAAAGAACTTGAGATGGAGAGATTATCCTGGATTATCTGAACGGGCTTTAAATATAATCACATGTAAGCCTATGAGGGAAGCAGAGGGAGATTTCACCACAGAGGAAGAAAGGTAGACGATATGAAGCAGTGATGGGAGTAATGTGGCCATATGACAAGGAATGTTGGCAGCCCCTAGAAGCTGAAAAAGGCAAAAAACAAATTCTCCTCCAGAGTCTTCAGAGGGAATGTGTCCATGCACACGCCTTGCCACAGGCCCAGTGATACTTATTGTGGACTTCTGGCATCCAGAACTGTGAGAGAATACACTTCTGTTGTTTTAAACCACCAAGTTGGTGGTAATTTGTTACAGCAGCTACAAGAAACCAATACCCAAGTCATTTAGCATAAAGTAATAACATTACATTCTCTCCTTTGTTGTAAATGTCCAAAGACCTCCCAGAAACTGCTCAACAAGTATCAGTGCTGAAAATGTCTTACCTAATCTTTCATCTCACACGGTTTCAACTACTACCCATATGCTGAAAACTTCCAAATTTGTATTTCTATCTTACAACATGCTCTTGTACTCCAAAGCAATATTCACAAATATTTCCTTGTCATTGCCAACTGTATGTACCATAGTCATCAACAGCTAACCAGGCCCAAGTTGAACTCATGATCGTAACTTAAAACTATCTCTTCCTTCCCTAGATGAGTTAATGAACCAGTGAACCATATCTAGGGGAACATATTTTATGCTGAATATTTATAACTAATTTTTCACTGATTGCTGGAATTTTCATCTTACAATAAACTCTTTTAGCAGCAAAGAACCAAAAAAATTAAAATCTAAGAAATAGGTGTTTAGTATAAAATCTATTACTAAAGGTTGCTATGAGTTGCACAGAATATCTGTAACTTTGATCATCTACTGTATGTGGAGCTATGATGTCACATGCCACAGGAAAACCAAATCTTCAGGGGGAAACAATAGCATTTAGTTAAAAATTTTAAAAAGAAAATCATGCCAGTAGATCTCAATTTAATTAATATAGAAAATGGGTATATATATATTACTCTGTGAAATATGGCTTTTCATTTAGATTAAATGACTATTCTAAATTAATTTCACTTTTCCAATCTCCAGTTTTCTTATGCATATACAAAAAAATATAGCAACAACTGTTCATGGGTTGGCTCTATTTTCCAAAAACTTTGCAAAGGGTTAAATGATACATGGTTTAAATTGTCTCAAGTTATTTCAAATATAAAGTCAGTTTAATTCCAATAATAGTTATATTTTCATCTAATCAATGGTCTCTAAAGCTTTTGGAAGTTAATTATTCTATGGTGAAACATCTGAGATTACTGTGATTATAATTCTAAAATAGTTAAACTTCAACCTTGAAGACTAAAATGATAAGCTTTTACAAAGATAAAAATGTAAATATTTGTAGATCATGAAGTCATAGTAAAGGTAATATTCTTTTTGAATTAAAAATGTACAGAGAGTGAATATATTTGGAATTTGTTTTATACACACAAACTTAATAATTATCTCCAAACAATTTCAGTATATTGCCAGTCTAATATGCCAAGCCATAAACTATAGCTTCTGTACATACACAAAGCCACTTACACAGAGGCTTTGACATTTTGTCTTTTTTCCCCACCATCAATAAATTTATTTAAATGTTTTAGCCTTTAAACAACCTTGTAAATCAATCTCAGTGTTCTACAATGGTATTGAACTATGTTGTAAAAGAGTTTTCTAAATTTTAGTTAACTTTCACTCTTTTGTTGGAAATCTTTTTTAAAAATGTCAAGTTTAACACTTTCAGAAAATTGAAACAAAACTTGGAAATAGAAGGAATAAAATTTTTTTCCTACGGAAACAAAATAATCTAGAAAATCAGATGATGAGAGTTCAAACAGGATACATAATTTATTTCTGAAAGTCTATACTTGAGCTACACAATAACTTGTGTTCTGAGAAAAACTTTTAAAGGTTCTTTTTTTTAACTGAATAAATTAATATTCTGTTATAGGATAGAATGAAATTGAGACAGCCTTTGTTTATTGCAGCATCTAAGTTTGATGAGATAGTGAAAAGAATCATAGAGACACCTTATTTGATGAATTTTATTATATTGAAAACATTACTTTGAATAAAGGAAAAAAACAGTGCTGGTAAAAATACTTGAACTAAAATTTTTATGTATTTCAATAAAAAACATAGAATGAAGATCTTTTATTTAGCAGAATTAACTCTGAGTTTACATGTACTTTAGGAAAAATACAGAAGACTTTTCTCAATTAAAAATATTTCTGGCCTACAGAGCTGTAACAATAGAGGCAGTCAACTACTTCAAATTTATTAACCATAAAATACAACTTTGAAAAACACTGCAAGCAATTTTATTTAAAAAATCATCGGACACATGAAAAAATATGTTCTATAGTGACATACTTTGAGAGACAGATACTGCTTAGAAACTGATTAAAGTATATAAATGTAAACCAAAGACAGTAATTCTACTTATGTAATTTTTCAATGTTTTGTTTTGCTTTGATATACACAAGTACACATTTTTACTTGTACAAATAATTTTATTTTAAAAAAGTTTTAAATAGGGGCGCCTGGGTGGCTCAGTCGTTAAGCGGCTGCCTTTGGCTCAGGTCATGATCCTGGGGTCCTGGGATCAAGCCCC